AGGGACCTTAGGCCGCTAAGCTTGGTATCTAGAAGAAAGAAGAACGTACGGGCTACGTTTATATACCTACTGCTATAAAAGGTAATGCTATATCTATAACGATAGTGCTATAGGCTAATATAAGCTACGCTAGGCCTAGGCGATTTGCTCCTAGTTGCCGAGTATCTCTAGAGAAAAGCTAATACTATCCCGGGGGTATTATTAGTCCCGCTAGCCTTACTACTATAGATTACTACTAGGTACTCGAACTAACTAGTTACATTTCGAGTGCGCGAGAATCTACGAAAGCTAGAGGTTAATAAAGGCGCGTAGTCGCTACTAGCAATTAGCTAGATCGATTGTTAAACTTTAGCCTACCCTACTAATAAAGGAGTCTCGTATATAGCTTTACTTTTTAGGGTCTATATATAGTCGTTATCCGTTTGCTTTACCGGAATATACGGACTACGCTACCTTTATACCCTATTTAAGGCGAGCTTTCTAAGCTCTTTCTTCTACTTAAGTACTAACTAACTTACTACCGCCTACCCCCTCCCTCTTCTTCTATTTAAACCCTTTAATTATTATTAACAAGCTACGAACGTTTTTGCAAACTCGTTACTAACTCCTTTCCGCTCCGGTCGACTAAGATGTCTTCCGGCGCCCTAAATCCGCTAGGCGCTAGCAGTAGTAGTAACCTACTAGCCCTTAACCTAGCCGTATTAGTCCCGATCGAAGCCCCCTCTAATAGCGCCTTAGTCGCTGCAACTAGTCTCGAGCACTGTTTCTAGATCGTTACCGCTATCGACGACCCCTAAAAGAAGATTAAGACCGCTCGTACCTTGCTACGCGTTATCGATAGAAATATTAAGAAGGCTACTATCTTAGTATCGTACGGTATAAACAACTTACGCTAGGACATTAGTAAGCGTATCTTTAAGCGAGACGTTCTTTAGGATATAGAGCTTTATTAAGCCTTTCCTATTATCTATAGCCTCGAGACGGCGGGTACTACGATTCGTATACGCTTTACGAACCTTAATTAAGCCTTCGAGTAGTAGGGAGGTCCGAGTAGTCTCCTAAAGAGCCTTATTAACTTCGCCTACGATAGATAAGAGCGTGCTAAGCAGGTTACGTCGTTCGTTAATAAGTATCCGGTCCGTCGCGAGGGAGTAGAGTACCTTTCCCGTACTATAATCTATCGAGTCTCTACTACTAGTAAGAAGTACGGTAAGCAATTAGTTAACTTAACCTTCGTACTTAACGACTTTACGACAGCCTACTAGAAGCGGTATAAGGATGCTATTACCGAAGTAGATCTTAACGCCTAGTCTACTAAAGATCTACTAAAAGAGAAGGGCTATCGTATTAATAGTGCGGGTTTTATTATTAAGGGTTAAGAGGCTCCTATCGTAGATATTCTCGAACGTAAGGTCCTTCGTCTTAAGACAGAAGCCGATACGGCTACTAGTCTAGCGCTCGCTATAGAGATATAGGTATAAGATTGTCGCTCGACCCGTAACTATAAGGTCCTCTAAGAAGTTTAAAATAAGCGCGCTAAGGTAGAAGTAGCGCGTTAGAAGGCACTATAGGCTCGCTAGGCATTCTAGAAGGCCGCTAAGAAGTCTACTATACCTTCTAGTACTAACTATAGCGACTCCGATATTAATATACCGGATACGCTACTAGAAGATACTATTTCCTCCGAGGGCTCTTTTAGTAAGCGTAGGTATAGAGGCCTCTCGCCGATACTATTAACTAAGAATATCTATAGATCTTGCAAGGGTAACTCTATTGTATATCTTATTACCGAGATCGATATAGTTCCTAAGGGCGATATAGGCAAAGCATCTGTCGCCCTATCTATCTATTAGTAGTACGACGACCTTAGCAAGCTAGGCGAAGAGCCGTTTACTATATATACTAGCTATATTAAGAAGGCCGCTAAGGCGTATAGTCTCTATACTAGTACTAAGACGAGTGTCCTTATTAGCCGCCTATTAAAGATTAGGCGTAATATCGCTAATTAAGATGCCTTCGCTACCCTTAAGGCTAATTAGGCTTATACTAACTAGTTTCCTAGACGCCCTATTACCGCCCCGACATCTCTAGGACTCTACGCGTTTAACCCTACTAGTACTATTACTCGCGCCCTTACGCTAATAGATCGCTAGAGTAAGTTCGTTACTAGCATTCTTAGCTAAGGTACCTCCTTCGATCGCTTTCGTTAGACTAGTAATACTATCTTCCCTCGAGTCTTCGGTTAGTTATAAGAGCCTCGTAGAGTATACCTTCCTTTCCTTATCAATCTAATATAGGAGGAGTTTAAAATGTACCTTTAGTATATACGTACGATGCCTAAGTCTAAGCAAGAAGGCCGTAATGCCCTTTAAACTTATAGTATAAGTAACTAAATCGTCCGCTAGTACCCTACCCTATAGCTCTTAGCTATCGCCCTTCGACCTAATTACGTATATAAGCTTATCTCCGTCCCTAAGCCTACTAAGTTCTTTAAGGTTAGTAGTACTTATAAAAACTGTCCTTCTAAGGAGTCTACTCGTCTCGGACAAGATATAGTTAAGCTCGTAGCTAGCGAGGGTACTAGTTACCTGCGTATTAAGGTCTACCTTATATCTAAGGATAAGACTAGCTACTCTACTATTATCGAAGGCATATACTAGCCCGAGGTCTTTGCGAACTAGGTTAAGAAGCTTAAGGCTCGTAGCCTAGTCCTACTAAGCAAGATCGGCAAGCTTACTAATAAGCACCTTACCGACGACGACCTCGACTATATATTCGATAGTTAGCCTAATAGTAAGGGGCGTAAAGCGGAGTAGATCCTTAGCCCTCTAAAGGAGTACGAAGTCTCTATTTAGATACTATACCTACTATATAGTAATCTAAAGACTAAGAGCAACCGTATATTAATTAACCTAGGCTACTCTCGCGTTATTAATAGCACTAAGGTTAAGGGCTACGAGAACTTAATAGTCTCTTAGGTTGCTAAAGCGTACCGCAATCTAACCGCTCTCCTAGCCTCTAACTCCTTCGTACTATTCGCTTTCCCTATAGCTATCTTAGTCGAAGGCCTCGGCTATATCTCCGACGCCCTAGTTAGTAGGATTCCTTAGTTAAGTTACGTTATTTAGAACGAAGTTAAATAGATCCTCTAGCTTAATAACGAGGGACTTAGGGAATATCTATACGATTAGGAGAATGCTACGAAGGAAAAGGCTACTAACCTCCTCGTTAATTAAGCTCTCTACGAGAGATAGTACTTCGGTGCTAATAGCTTCTATGCCTCTAGAGGAGATTTCGAGAGCCGACTAGCAGATAAGGTTATTGCTAGCGAGGATTACGGTGCACTAAAGCAATAGTAAGTCTATATAGTAGTTAGTTTTCTAGGAAGTTGTTTTTATATAATTATAGTATCTAGGATTAATATTACCCCGGGGGTGTTATTATAGAGTTTTAGAAATAGCCTTAGCTAAGAGCGCTAAGGGTGCATATATGTTTGTTTTAAGCGCGCTATATAAAACGTGTCTAGTTAGATACGAAGAAAGGGAGGGATATTAGCTAGTAACCGGCCCTACACCTATAGGCTAGTTTTAAGCCTATATAAGAGGCCTCCTTCTATAGAGTAGACAGATTATTAACCTCGTACAGTATATTGTTTATATTACACTTCTATAATGCCTATATTGCAGGGCTCTAGTTACTAGCCTAAGCGGCAGTCTCGTTATCCTATCTTACTAAACATAGCTACCTATATTGCTATAGGTTATATTACCCTCGGTTGCCTACACTATTGCTGCTAGTAGTAGTAGTAGTATTAGTTTCCGTCCTTTAATACTATATTTACTAATAGATTATAGAAGCGAGTACTACCGCGACTCTTACTCTCGCCGGCGCTAAAGTTATTTTAACGTCTTAAAGTATATTAAATACCGCCTATACGTCTTTCTTAACTTCCGCTCGTACCTTATCGATATAATCTACTACTTTATCGCGACTCGGAGAGTTATAATTAGCGTCGAAGGTATAGAAGGCCTCGCGCTATTTAGAATAGAATCTCGCGTCTACTTTATTAGATAGCCTCCGACTCCTACTATATAAAATAGCCTTCGTAATAGCTAGGTCGCGTACCTACTTAGTTATAGTAATACTAAATAGAAGTATACGTTACTATTTACGCGGTAGGAAGTCGGCTTTATTATTAGATTAGTAAGACCTCTTATAGTCTAAATAATACTAATACTTCTTTAGATACTTCTATATACGCCGCGTTACGCTATATACTTCCCTCCGGTACTATTCCTTTCCTACTCTCGTACTAGATATAGCGTATAAATTTGCCTTTAAAGTCGGTCTTAATATACGAGAAGCTAAAGTTATCTAGATATCCTACTAGAGGTATCTTAAAAAGTCGGAATTCTAAGATTCGTAGAATTACTAGAAAAACGAAAAATGGAGAATCTAATAGGTAAAATAGATAGAAAAAACGATAATAATTCTCTTTTAATAATAGCTATTAAACTATCCGGTTTATAGATAGATTAGATTATATTAGTAGTAATACCTCTAACTATAACCCTACGATTGCTAGTTACTAGGCTACTCTAAGCGATATAGTCTCTAGTAATAATATCTCGGAAGACCTACGGAAGTACCTTCTACGCTAAACTATACGTAATTAAGCTTCTTCTAATCTTAAGAGATAGATCTATAAAGGAATAGGCCTCTAAAGGTATAGGAAATACGCTATACTAGTATCTAAGGTATTTGCTTACTTCTAGCTAGTATAAGATAAGGTCTATATAGAGGCCTTAGGTATAGATATTATTATTAATAGGCTGCTAACTATTAGTATAATACTAACGTTAGTATTAACTAATAAAGTATTATTAATAGTACCTCTAATAATTACACCTTATAGTATATAAGCGTCCCGGCCGTAGGGAGTAGTAGGGATGCTATTAGGCGATTAATGTCTTTATTACCGCTAAGGTCCACTCATCCCATTATTCTGATAATGTGAGATGATCGGCGATCTCGTCGATGGCCATGTCTGCTATGCTTGTCGGCGGAGGTATTCGCTAGCAGTTGCATGCATGCAGAGAGCTAGGGTCGTTGCTGCGGTATGCATCGTGTTGACGCTGATTGTTGACGAAGAGCGAATCGCTAACCGTATGCCGTACGAGTCGAATTCTTTCACATGCTGATGAGAGGGAGTGTTCATCATAGTTTAAATCGAAGGGCATTCTGTCTCCAAGTTGGGCGTGAGCACATATATTAGTAGACAGGGGCAAGGTCGGAGTTGGATATGCGGAGCTGTCTTCGCTCGGTCCGGCCGCCGTTAGATATCGTGCCGGGGTGCCTGTTGTCCTCCAATGCACTTCTGCAGCCATCGGTGCTCCGCGGGCTGGGCGGGTCGTGATTCTATGGTGACGCTGGTGTGAGGTTGAAGCGGCGGAGAAAAATCGTCGAGCGGAGAAATGATCGGGCCGAGACGGTCGGCAGGCGGGATCAGTTGAAATGGCAACTGGTGTAGAAGTCACTACCTAGTATTATTGACAGTGAACGTCTTACGCCGCATGCGCATACAGCGAGCCGAGCCCACACCATCTCTCACAGGGCAGGGCAGGGCAGGGCAGCATAGTCTCGACTCGAGCACGGCAGAAAGGAGCACAACGACAGCTTTGGGCGCCTACTCACGAGCACCAAGAACTGAGGCTGCACGACAACAGACAACAGACAACAGCTGGCCGCGCGCCGAGCAAAAGAGCAAGAGCTAGAGCAAGTTTGACTCAGGCCTTTGTATAGAGCACAATGAGGGAATAGAGCCGACTCTTCTGGTCTCTGAGACATTCGCCATACAAATTGCGCCTGCAGCCTGTGCCTGTGCTCAGCCTGCTCTCGCACGCTCCAGACTCTGCCTCTGCCTCTGCCTCTGCCCTCTACAGCTCCTCCACAGCCGCACATAGCAGTAGCAGTGAGCGACTAGAGCATTCGAAGCGAGGCAGAAGTGAAGTCTAGCCTCAATCAGCGCCGACCACAGAACCTGCGCAGTCGGAATCGTGCATACGCCAACGCCAACCTTTGACCGACCCTGCGCAACATGCAACAACCCGCGCCGAATCGCAAACGACCTGCCCCAGGCGCAAGCGCATCGCCCTTAGCCATGTCTACCAACAATGCCTTCAACTCCCACCTGCCAGAGAACCAGGACTTCTCCAATTTTGACTTCTCAAACGCCTTCAACACTGATCACACCTTTGCCGATCCTTCCTTCTCCGACCCGAATGCCTTTTCTACAAACCTAAACTCGAACCAGCCGCAGGCGTACGGCAGTAATCTGGCTCCGGCCCCGTCGACACATCTGGTGAGGAGGACTAAGAATCAGCAATTGGCACCACAGAACGGGCAAGACGCGTGGGACGGTGGGAACTACAGCGCGGGAAACATGGGCGGTAATCCGGAAGAAGAGACGGAGCAGGACCTGGAATCCAAGGTCGCTCTTGCCAAACGGGACGCGCAGGGAAAGAGGAAGCAGATTCCGCCGTTTGTGCAGAAACTCAGCAGGTGAGAGGCGTCGAGTGTCGAGATACTTCTGCCCGCACGACATACTGACTGAAGATACAGCTTTCTCGACAGCAGTCACACTGACCTGATTCGCTGGTCCGACGATGGCCGCTCATTCATAGTTTTAGACGAAGACGAGTTCGCCCGCACATTGATCCCAGAATTATTCAAGCACAACAATTATGCCTCCTTCGTTCGACAGCTCAACATGTACGGCTTCCACAAGACAGTCAACATTACTGATGGCTCACTTCGGCAATCCGAGAAAGCTCGCAAAGGTGTGAAGCCGCCTAGCATGTATTCGCATCCATACTTCCGCAAGAATCGACCCGACCTTCTTTGGCTGATCCAGAAGCCCACCGGAAAGTCAAGTGCGAAGCGAAGACGAGATGGAACTGTGAAAGGCGAAGCTTACGATAGCGATGAGGAGAGACAATTCTCACCTGCTCCCGATGGCAGGCCTCCGGGAGAGCTTGGATCAGCTGGTGTTCAAGGCCTTGCACAATTGCCGCGAAATGAGCTCGCTGCTGTACGGCAAGAGCTGAAGAAGGTGCAGCAACAGCAGAATCTCATATCGAGGATGATCGGCCAGCTGAAGGAGCAGAACGAGCAGTTCTATCGACAGGCGACTGCCTTCCAGCAACTTCACGATCGACACGAGAACAGTATCAACGCCATTCTAACATTCCTCGCGACTTTCTACAATAGGAGTCTAGAAGGCCACTCGGGGCAGAATGTTCTCAACATGTTCGGCAACCAAAGCCAAAACACCTCCCCGCAGCAAGGAAGTGTGGTTGAAGAGTTCAATGAGTCGATGCAGGATGCGAACAATCAGCAAGTCCAGCGCTACAAGAAGCCGCAACTGCTTCTCGGTGCCCCCAACGCATATCCACAGATGGGCGGGGCGGTGACTGAGCCAAACTCGGCCAGACAGTCTGTGAGTCCTCCTGAAGGCAACTCGCCGCCTCTCAAGAGAGACAGTAGCGCAAGTGTCCCGCCTCAAAGTGTCACGAGTGCCACCGCTCGAGCGACCCAGAGCCCTGCAATCAAAGACGACGCGTCGACACCGAACCTCCTCAACACTGTTCCCGACAACGAAGAAATAGTAAGCTTTATCAACAACATGAATGCGAGTAATGCCGCAAACGACAGCACGCCCGCTTACGACCTCTCATCGCTCCCCAATTTCTCCGGCAATGGTGGTGGCTTGACACAAAAGCAGAGCAAGCAGATGCTTGATCGTATCATGCAGGAGAATGGTGGTCTTCCGAACAGCAACAACGCTCTCGCATCGCCAAACCAGCCTCGACAAGACATTGGAGGAATGCTCAACAGCATCAGAGACAACCATGCCGAGATCGAGCGCCTCACGGAGTTGCAAAAAGACCAAGAAAATGAGCTCGGTCGGCTACATGACAGAATCGCAAGCGCTTCTCAGTCTCCCGGTGTCTACGACTTCGACTTGTCTAACATCGGCAATCCAGGTGACCACGACATTGACGGCTTCTTCGACAGCAACGACTACTTTGGTGACAGTAGCAATTACGACTTTGCCGCAGCAGCTAACGCGACTAATCCCGAGAACATGAATTTTGACGACCTTGCCCCAGTCGGCGATACTGGCGACGACATGTTCCCCGGCGCTCCCGATCCTGATCACTTGGCTGCACCAATAGGTACGGGGACTGTAGAGAGTCTAAGCAGCCAGTCAACAAGTCCTGCACATACCACTTTGGAAGATGAACATGATCCTGGCACCCCAAAGAAGAAGCGCAGAACTTCTTGATCCTTGGATGCGATATCACGATGACACGAATCTGCTTACCTTTGCCGCGAAATTTTCGCTAGCACGAATGCGCCGAAGAGACGATTTGTGAAAGAGAAAGGGTTAACATGTCGCAGAAGTGAGATACAGCTGAGGATATTCTAGAAGCTAACTCAATCAGTATCCAGGCATGCAATAGCATTGCTATGACCCAATGATAGTCTGTTCTCTTTCAACATGCTTGCACCTTCCATCTCCGTGGCTCTCGTTCCGTTGACTTCGTCTTCTGCATTATAGGAATACAATCGCCATTGTGGTTTGAGACCCCTTTGTTGCTCACGAACGCTGCTCGTGCTGAAAATCACTTTCGACACTGGACAAAGTCTTCATCTCTCGCTACTCAAAGGCTTTGTTCTGGTGACAGGGCGTTCTGCAAAGGATATTTCAGTGTCGACTGCGCCGCCACTTTCTGGCACAAAAGACACATACAGCACGAACTCACATCTATCAAGATGCAGGACAACATTCTAGTAGATTATTCGTGCACTCATTTTGCCGTCCTACCGGCTGATGTTTCTCTGGAGAACTACGACTGGCTCTTCAACGATCTTCATTCCGCCGCAGAGAAAGACTTGATATCTCTCCGCATCACATCTCACCTAGCTCTACCCCAGGCCTGCCCAAACCCTGCCTGTCAGCACTTTCGTCTTAAGCCATGGACTGAGCTCATCAGAACAGCTGAGAGCGAAATAAATGCAGCGCTGAGCGAGACCAGGAAAGCATACATGCGCTACGGCCACGCCTATCATTTAGAGCTGAACCCGCGCAGCAGGGTCAGGTGCCTAAGAGACCCGGACTGCGCGCTGGCGCACAAGCAGTTCACTCTGGAAACAAGATCCCTCCACAGCGATCCTTTCTTCATGGCGTGGCGAGCCCTATACTCGGGCTACAACAAGATCAAAGTCGTGATTCAAAATCCCTACAATCTACTCTCATTCTCAAACGCCGAGAGAATAGCCAAGATCATCAACGATTGTCGTTTTGAGATTAGCAAGATCGAGTACCTGCTAAATCAGCTCTATGCCGGTATTAACATCTTCCGAAGTGAGCTCACATCTCTCCAAAACAACATGGCTAAGCGCAAGAATATAGTCATTGCAGATGGATTGCCGGTGGTGTCTCCTGCCGACAAAGCGAAACTCAAGTGCTGTTTAGCGCGCACACTCGACAATTTGAATACAAACGATGGGATAATCAGCGTATCTATGCCTCTTGACGAGTCAACGGGCAAGACAACTGGTCTTGCATTCATTGAATTTTGGACATCGAAGCAGGCTACCATTTTCGCAGATGTCGCCATGGCTGTTGGTGGCACACGGCTATACGAAAAGCACCGGGTGACCTTTGCAGAGCTCACAGACGTCTCGCGCTTCGACAAGCTCGAGATCGATGAATTTCGCGATACAGATATGATCTCATCCAGCAGTCAAGGAGCCATTGACGAGATGAGAATGCACATGAGGCAGAAATCTATGGAAGAACTGTCCTATGAAGACGAACATGCTGACTATGCCAAACTGGGCGGATCAGCTTTGCAGGAGTGTCTTGCTAAGAACAAGAGAGCTCGTTTGCTGCGTTATCGCATGAACCACTGGGGCAAAAAGCTCATCGACGAGGCTGATGTCCACGGTGACACGAGACACATGAGGCACGCAGTTTTCGGTAATGCCATGTACAAGAATTGGTTGAAGCGTGTAGAGGGCTTTGCTGAGCTAGCACCTTGATATCTCTGGCACACAGGCAGGTATTCAGGCACAGTGGCGAGCAGATTGGCAGAATCGAGCTAATATCTTGCGCACAGGTCGATTGCATTCATAGCTCAAATAAAGAACTTCGCGGCGATGCCCATCATCTATTCGTCGCAAACCAATTTGATGTTAGTCTTGTCCATCGATCCGTCATTTTCATACTCATCCAAGAAGCACCGTTCCTCTGCTCCCGAGTCTGCTGTCGACAGAGGTGTAAGCATACCAGTACTGCTCCAATCTTCGCCGACAAACTCTTCGAGGGTGCCAGGTAGTCTGAGTAAAGCCCGGACTCAAAAAAACATGGCTCCACACACGCAATAACTTCTCTCGAGCGTTCGCACCCTGGATTTTCACTATCTCGCATCAAAAGTCGCGGCAGACCAAGAATTCCCGGAACTCCCATGGCAATCCGCAAATTCATCAACAAATCTTACAACAATCTCAGGACACAAAGTCCTGCAATATCCATAGCCTTCAACTTTCATTGCCGACTGGAAATGATCCACGTGTCATGTCCTTTTCCAGGCCCGTTTCTCCGTCCAAGCTTGCGATACCCGTGCCAATGTCTCGTATATGGATGAGATAGCATCCTATGCTGGCCAGCGTGCTGGTTTGCAGGTTGTGTGAGTATTTCGGCGCTTGAGGTTGAGAAGGCTGCTGCAGAGCCTGATTTGAAATATCTTGGCTATATTCTCCGAACCAAAATTTCGGCATAGGGCAGCGATTGAGCTGTCTGCGCAGACTTTTCTCACAAACATCCCGAACCCTCATCTTTCTCTGTATCCTGTCTCGGCTCAGCAGCTATTAACGATGCTGGAGGTTCCAGTAGATAGTCCGCGGTCAAGTTGGAGCTTGCTTAAGTGATTCATCTCGAAAACGACCGAGATTGACTGCGAGGCAACATTCAAAGGCAAACTTTCAAGTATTTGGGAGAGTAGAAATACAAAATTTTGAGTTGAGAAAACCTTTGGACTTAACAGCCTACACTCATAGAGCGAGATATTGCTCTGGGGCCTCAAAATGACCAAGCTTGCTATTGAGATGAGATTTTCGAAAAAACTCCAGACCGCTGACAAGCACGACCAAGACATCTCGACTGCTTAGCCGTCCAAAATCGGTGATCGGAGGAGTCGACCGTAGCATACTCATTAACGTCTTCCGACGACAATGATGACTTCGCCGTTTTCTTGCAAGACTGGCTTACAGCCTTCGACTTATGTTCTCGTTGCGAAGCATTCTCGCTTCTCTTCTTGCCTGAGTCGCTTCATTCTCCGCCTGAGATTTCGCCTGTCTCGCCTGAGCCAGCTCATTCTTTAGTCGAACTACGTCCTGCTTGGCTAGAGCGACTTCCACGTTGGCTCGAATGACCTGTTCCTCCTTTCCGACGTCCTCAGTTGGAGAGCTTTCTGCCCGAGCTCGCTTCTGTACAAGCCAATCGATTGCTTGTCCGTAAGAAGGCACGACCTGACACGCCACGCCATATAACAGCGGAACGCCGCAGCAAGCCAACAATAGTCCGCCTACAGCGGCTGCAGCTTCTAAAAATCTCAGCATGAATGGTCCTCTTCCGCCAGACTGACTGTCGAGGGCCATCGTGGCAGTGGCAGCCATCGAGACGGCATTTATGAATTTGTATCCATGTTCCTGACAAAAGCATTTGAGATCGTCATGCGTTCCGCGATGAGTGTATCTGCCGTCTGGGATCCAGACATATTTCTGAGGTGGCCAGATGTGTCGAGAAAGCGTGCCGAAAGTTTTGTAGACGAAATAGACAGTGCCGAATTCCAAAAAAGCTGCGGGTGTATCACTGCAGAATTTGGCGATGATCTTAGTGATGGAGATTGTCGTGGCCATTGTTATTGTTGTAGCTCCCGAGTCATTTGGCAAAGGTCGCCGGTCCTGCAAAGGCTCAGATGTGGAAGAATTCTACGCAAGAGGACGATAGCAAGTGTCTTGTCAAAGGCTGTGGGCCAAGTAAAGTGATGCTGACCACCAGGAATTCGCCAGCACTATGGTTGGTCCACAGCCTTGTCACTCTTCTGGAACTCGTCAACACGGTATATAATGAGCTTCTAGTCTACCATAGATTCGCGACTGAAGAATGAGGGTGTTTGGTACGTACTACGCACGGTATACATATATATATATATATTCATGCGCGAGCAATGATTGTCATCTATACAGCCATGCCCTCTCTATACAGCTGTCCATAGCGAGATGTGGATGCGGGTATCATGCAAGTTCCAAGCTGAGTCTCGCAACGCCTTTATTCCTCATGCATAGAATACTCAAGATCTTGTTGCACCGCTCACAAGATCGATGCAGCTCTGCAAATTGCACTGCATCTCCTCCATCTGGGTTCTAAGGTGGCGATTTTCGTTTCGTAATCGCTCAACGGTGGTCCAAGCAGTCAATGTACTGTCATTGTGGTTGATAGCGGAATATGCGGTAGACTGCTGGCTCATGCGACTGTCTCTCGAGCTCGCGTACCGGACCTGCGGCTGACTTTGGTGATCTAGTGTCACAACAAGCCTTTGCTGCTGCTGCTGCTGCTGCTGCTGCTGCTGATACTGTGCTGGGATTGTGTGGTCGATGTTGGAGCTGAACAGGCTCGAAGTGTCGGCATCAGACTCGAAACCGGAGTCACTAGCATTGCCACCAGAATTGCGTTTCCGTCTGTGAGGCATTTCGTCGACGTCGGTGTCGAATTCTGTCTCCGCAGTTTCGCGGCGAACTAGCCGGATGGTCTTGGCCTGTTCTTGTGCTTCTTGAAGCTTGACCTTCTCTTGGGATAGCTGGATGAGAAGTTCCTCATTCACCTGTCGCTGCTCTTCTGCTTTGCGTCCTATGTCTTCCAGCTGCATCTTCAGGTGATGGGAACGTGTTCTCGCCTCGTCCACTTCCTCCTTCTGAGCATCGACCTCAGGTTGAATGCTGGCAATGTAGTCAAGCTTCTCTTTGTAAGCGGCTTGCAATCGTTGAAGCAGATCCGTCGCGTTTCGGAGCAGATCGTTGAAGGCGTGGGGTGAAAGAGGATCTGCGGGACCGTGTGGGAAGAGGCATGCATGGATGTTGAGGTTGAGCATCTCATCTTCTACCTTGGCTGCGGCCGGCGCAGGCGCAGGTGCAGGTAAGGTGGGCTTTCGCGTAAACCAAGACGTCTTTCGGTTGGCAGCAGTCACGGGCGGTGTCGTTGGCGTTGGAGTCGGCGTCTTTGCTGTCGAATGTCTGCGCACGCGACCATCGATGGGTCGTTCGGTGAAGTTGCCTGGCTGGTATTCCATGACGAAGTCTGTCCCCTCCTTTTCTTTGGTAGGCGAAGTCGGAACACCGAGTTGCACTGGCGCCGACTCTCCGTTAAAGAGATCACCAAAGATCTTACTTTGCGGTCGTGGTTTTGGCAGCGATTCCTGCTTTTCGGGTGACGTGATTGTGTTCGTGTTTAATTTTGGAACATAGGCGGCCCAGGATCTTGCCCTGCCGTGAAGAATGGAAGCAGATCGTTGTATGGCTGCTGCAGTTGGCTGTGCATTCGACAGGGAGGGGAGGAGCCTTGAGCCAAGGCCTTCGCGAACAGGGGACGTTCGAGTGCGGTCGCGGTCGTGGAGTGGTATGTCTTCGAAGGGGGGGTTGTTGAAGCGAACAGTGGGTGTTGGATGGAGGTTGCCTTCAGCGCCGTGGTATGCAGTGGAGGAGGGAGGATGGGCTCCTCCTTGGAAGGGGTCGTGGTGAGGATATGGCATTGGTGCGCGCATGCCGGTGTCAGGCGGAGCCAGGTGTGGGAGCAGGGCCAAGGCCAGGGTGTTGCAAGGGATGTCTCAAACGGTGAAGCCAAGCCCTTCGCTTGGGTGTGTTGATGCCAATGTCGACCAGAAATCACAGGAGCAAAGGTGCGGTGTGTGACAAGAGGTGGAAAGGGGCGAGGGCGAGGGCGATGTGATATGTAGACGCTTGCAGTATGAATGAGTAGTGCGAGGCGAGGCGAGGCTGGGACGGGAGGCTGCACTGCACGCTGGAGCCAGCCACACGCCAGCCCTACGCGTTTCACGTTTCACACCTGAAAAGACACTCTCGGAGGTAGGGGTGCCAGGTTGTTAATCACGACTAACGTTAGCAACGTTGCTAACACTATTAAAAACGTTGATATAGTCGACTAAGTAGTTAGAACCTAAGGCTAAAGGCCGCTAACTAGAGGTAGAAGGTTATATATATACGACTAGTACTATAGACTAGAGATACTATATAGACTACTTCTTACTATAGAACAAGACACTATATAGAACAATTCTTACTATAGAATAGACTGCTTTATAAGCTTAACTAATCGGCCGCTAGAGCGCTTATCTAAGCGCTTCTACGCTAGTATAGTTACTATAGATCTCTAGATATTACTAGCTATTAGTATCTTATAGGAGCGACTAGCTAAATAGTAAGTAGTTAACTAGAGGGTCGTACCTACTAGAAGCCTAGCTATTAGTAGGCTTAAAGAATTATAGGTACTATAATAGCTAACTTCTAGTTAGTATTAGAAGCACTTTAAACTTTAAAGAGCGCTTTATAGTTAGCTAGCTTATCTTCGAAGTCGTTATCTTATTCTTAGTAAGCGGCTAGACCGTATAGATTAAGTAGCTATTTAGGGTTAGATATATAGAGATAGCGAGGGTTACTTACTAGTAGATAGTAGTCGTTTATAAAAGCTTTTTCGAAGGCTAATAATACGTCTAATTCCGCCTTCCTAATCTCCTTCTTAGTTACTAACTATCGCTACTATATCTCTCCTATTTAGCTTATCGTTACCTTCTTACTATCTCTTCTATAGGTCTTCTATATAAGGCACGGCTATTTATATAGATATAGGTATAGTCGTTAGTATAAGTAGCGGATAGCTTCGAGCGATAGTCGTTCTATATAAAGTTTATAGCGCTAAAGGCTCGCTTAGAAGGTACTAAATTAGTAGGTATTCTATATAGGCGGAGGGTAATCTCTATAATAAGAGGTACTTAACTAGTAAGGAAGTCCTAATAAGTAGTAATATTACCGCGCTTACGATACTAACTAAGCTCGTTATTACTAATAGTAAAGAAGCGTTATATAGAGTCTTAAAGTTTAATAAATTCGTCCTTAAATTAGAGATAGCGCTCGTATATAGAAGGATTGCTCTCTTTATAGCTAAAATAGCCCTTTAAGAAGATAGAGCGGTATTCTTCTTCGCGGTCGCTAAAGTCTCGAAGAATACTAATTTAGTAATAAATAGCGAGAATACTTATTACGAGGAAGCAACGCGTACGTAGATACTAGATATAAGACTTAATAGGTTCGATAAGGAGCTAATTCTATCTACGTAAATCTAAGTAGTTTTATACGGTACGCTAAGCGCTAAGTAGTAGCCTATAGGTTAGTATCGTATAGGCCGAACGCCTAAGGCTAGTATCGTTTATCTAGGGCGTAGCTCTTTACAATACTACCTAGTAGATAGGTTAAGTCTGTTTATTAAACTAGAGGTTAAAGAGCGATAGTAAGTCCTTTTTATAAAGTAGGCGCGCCTACTATATTAAACGTAGACCCCGTAGTAGTTCGGGTTAGTTTAGTTTAGTTTACTAGTAGTAAGCCGCAATTCTAGTTTAGTTTAGATTGGTTTGCTAAGTAACTATAGGAGTAGCAGGTTCGAACTATAGAATTTATCGGTTTCTAAGAAGTATAGGAATGTATACGTAACTTAAAGCAAGCCCTTTATAAGACCCGGTAGTATAGCCGGTAGCGTAGCCGGCATTTTTACTCCTTAGTACTAGAAGAATTTTCGAAGACTTTAATTCCGTAGTAGTTATAGGAAGGTACTTATATTACCCTAAATCTATAGACAATTAGGTAAGGATACTAACTAATTAAGTATATATATCTATATATAAGCTATTATAGTATAGTTTAGCAACTATACTCCTTAGGTATAAATTTTATCCTTTCGCTCCCTATTTAAATCCCTAACTACTTAGTTAAATATCTTTATCTAGATCTAGGTCGAACTTATTAATTTCCCTTAAAGCTCTCTTTAAGAAGTTCCGATACTTTCCTACTAAACTATTCTCTAATATTAAGTACTAGAATAGCTCCTCCCTTAGTATCGGTAATAATTCGGTATAGTATATAAAAGAGCTATAAAGCAGCTCTATACTACGTTCTACTAGTTACTCGCTATACTAAGTCTAAATTCTAGATCGTTCCTTAGAACTCTTAGTTATTTAGTAGATATAAAGGGTAGGGTAGGAAGTAAATTCGTATTATATAAGGAGGTAGAGGCTACTATTAAGGAGTCCTTTAACTTATAAAAGATAGTAAAAGATATAGAGGCTACTATAGGTCTAGGTACCTAGTTAAGTTTCTAGTAGGTAGAGTATATTAGTAGTAATACCTCTAACTATAACCCTACGATTACTAGTTACTAGGCTACTCTAAGCGATATAGGTTCTAGTAATAATATCTCGGAAGACCTACGGAAGTACCTTCTACGCTAAATTATACGTAATTAAGCTCCTTCTAATCTTAAGAGGTAGATCTATAAATAAATAAGCCTTAGAAGGTATAGGAAACACGCTATACTAGCATCTAAGGTATTTGCTTACTTCTAGCTAGTATAAGATAAGATCTATATAGAGGCCTTAGGTAGAGATATTATTATTAGTAGGTTACTAACTATTAGTATAGTACTAGCCTTGCTATTAGCTAATAAAGTGTTATTAATAGTACCCCTACTCGGAGGTTAGCCTATGTTTATAATACTCCCCGCCTACTATTATAATTTCCGCTAATCTTTACTTATATATAACGCAATCCTAATATAGAAGATTAGCCGGAGTTATAAACTAAGCTAAAAATAGATATTAAGCATAGCCGTTATAGCTTATTATTATACTAGGAAACGCCTCGTCTAGTAATAACCTTACCTTAGTATAAATCGTACTATCGCTAACTCCCTAATCTTATTAGTAGATAAAGCGATAAGACAACTATCTATACTACGGCTACTAGGCACCTTACGTAGTAGATTTCTAGCCGCTTACTATATATAACTTATAAGAAGCCGCGAATAGCGCTATTTTAGTAGCGGGAAGTAAATAATTAAAATAACGGCTTATAAGAGCTTACGTAGGCAATTTAGTAGCGTTTCTTAGTAGGCTGCTTAGTAATTAACCTCGGCACTAAGAGGTAGCTAGAGTCGTAGACCTTACTATAATTAGTATTATAGATTAGATATTATTGCTATCCTATACTATAGAAGAATACGACTCTAACGGCTTCTTAACTAATAAGGATACTACTATCGCTATCTATAGTAGAATACTAGCAATAACTATACCTATTTTAGCTTCCGAGGTCGATAATCTACTAGATCTAGCTATTCGCCGAGAGGGCGAGACTAAGCGCGAATACTAGTATATATAGGCTCGTAGTAATAGACTATATAAAGAGCTACGCTAGTATCTAAGAGACAAGTAGTAGTTACTAGAAACGTACCCTAACGCTAACTTCGAGGGTAACTTCCGCTTTAGTAAGTAATAAATAATCGAATTAGCCGAGTTACTAGATATTAAGTCGATCGAGTTACCTAAGCGTATACGTTATAATCTAGTAATAGTACTATATATCGTTTGCGGAAGGCTTAGTAATCTAGGTTATTAACGCAACCTAAGCTAGATATTTAGTCGTAGTAGTAGCTAGATTAGGCGTATATTTAATGCCGCGTATCCTTAACTAGTAAGGCGTTAGAAAGAGCGATTAGTATAGAACTTTAACCGGTTAAGTAAAGCCTAACTATAGCAAATAGCTATTATAGTTACTAGATTAATCGATATAGAATATATCTTCGGATATATCGATAGTATTCTATAGAAGTGCTATAAACCAACCTATAACTAGCGGCCGTTCTATAATAGAGATAAGCACTTCTATAGACTTAAATATTAAGGCATCGTCCTTCTAGATAGTATAATATTGCTATATAGTCTAGTACCTAGCTCCTACGGCGATATAACGTTAATACTAGAGAGTAGATTTAATAAGGTCTAGAAGTCGTATTTCGAGCCGCCTAGATAGCTATATCGACCCTTTAAAGAGCAGGTATTCTTATATAGTAATTAAGTATATAATATCGCTAATAGGGTTATAGGAAGCTAGAAGACTATAAATAGCGAGTTTCGTAATACCGACGAGGCTACGGCTATAAAGGAAATAAGTACTATCCGCTAGTTAGTTAAGCTCTATTTATAATAATAGTAAGGGTCTTAATAGTAACGAAGCGGTTATCGTTACCTATAGAGCCTAAATACTAGACTAGATAGTATTAATTTAACGTACTATCTTTAGCTTAACGTCTCTTACTACGGCGCTTATTACGGCAGATTAGTCGCTTATATCTCTCGTATAGCTAGTAGGACTTAGTATATTCGGCGCCTCGCTAGTAGCGCTAATAATAGAGACACTTAAAGACTCTAATAGCGAGCTAATTCTACGTCTAAAGCTACGGCCCTTAGCGAGTATTCTTAGAGTATTAGGTATAGGCGATAGTACCTCCTTTAGTATAGCTCCTTATATCTATAATCTACGCTAGAGCCGTTTAGTCTCGAAGTCTAAACAACGACGCTTAGTAAGCTAAGTAGTATTACTATCGACCGTAGATAGTATTAATAAGTCGATAACTTCTACTCGTTAAATAGGTATTATTAAAATAGCTAGATTTAATACTACTAGAGCCGCTACTAGAGCCGTTACTACTAGAGCTAGAGCCTAACTACTATTACTACTCTAAGAGAGTGTCGATAGTATAGTATTATATATATTCTTAGTAGGACTATTAAATGCCTTTTATTCCTTCGTATTTAATATCTTCTCGCGCTATACTTTATCTAGTCGAAATA